CTTAAGAACCACCGTGTTATTTATTTATTTTATTTTATTTTATTTATTTAATTTATATGCCACCCACACTACCCAAAGGTCTCTGGGCAGCTTACAATAATTTAACTACAGTAAAAAGATAAAACAATTAAAAGGTCTCTGGGCAGTAATAATGTAATAATTTAACTACAGTAAAAAGATAAAACAATTAAAATACAACTAAAAATATAGTGCTCTAAAAATTGCCATCAGGACCCACAGTTTTGACCTGGCGTTGAAATGTCATCAGTAGAGATGAGGGTATTTCTTTCACAGATGAAAATAACGAGGGTCCACTCATGACTGTCCACTCATGATTTCGCCGCTGCTTCCGGCTCCATGGAGACTTCCTATCATGCTGTTCTCAACAATGGCTTAGCCACTCTCCGACTCAGCAGAGAAGCTTGTCATCCCACCTCCTGCCAGGACTAGGTAATTGACTGCAGACAACGACGCAACAGGAAGCCTCTGTGGAGCCGGTGGCGAAATCGTGTTATTTCAACCTGTACTGGGATATTTGTATTCGTATACGAATGCAAATACCCTGTCTCTAGTCATCAACGTCAGTGCCAGACGAATCTCCCTTGGGATGGCATTCCATAGTCTGGGGGCAGCTGCCAAAAACGCCCTTTGTCTACAAGCCATCCCTCTTACCTCCTTGAGGGACGGCTCTTTCAAAAAGGCCCCCTAGCTAGATCTTCACTGCCGGGTAGGTTCATATGGAAGGAGGCGGTCCTTCAGGTGTCCAGGGCCCAAGCCGTTTAGGGCTTTATACCTCAAAGCAAGCACTTTGAATTGGGCCCAGGCAGCAACTAGTAGCCAATGTAATTTAAACAAAATTGGTTTCATGTGTTCCCTAGCGGCCCCACCACTCACCAGCTGCACAGCTCAATTCTTAAACAGTTGAAGTTGCCGGACTGTCTTCAAAGGCAGCCCCACATACAGCTCATTGCAGTAATCTATACGGGATGTTACCCATGCATGCATAACTGTCATGAGACTCTGCTCATCCAGGTAGGGCTGTAGCTGGTATAAATTCCGCAGCTGAAGGAAAGTGCTCCTGGCCACTGAGTCCACCTGGGCTTCCAGAGTTAAACCGGGGTCCAGGAGCACCCCCAGGCTGCAGACCCTGTCCCTTAGGGGGCATGCAACTGTATTCAGGGAAGGAAAATGGCCCTCTAGCCTGCCCAGCAAAGCACCCACTAACAGCACTTCCGTCTTGTCTGGACTGAGTTTCAATTAATTAACCCTCATCCAGTCCATTATCAGGTCCAGACACGAGTTCAGCACAGAAACCGCCTCACCTGGATTGGTGGAAAATGAGAGGTAGAGCTGAGTGTCATTCAGCATATTGCTGCCTCCTCAGCCCAAACCTCCTGATGACCTCTCCCAGTGGTTTCATGTAGATGTTAAACAGCATGGGGACAGTATCAAGCCCTGAGGGACAGAGCAACTGTCCCCCAGCACCACTTTCTGGACACAGTCAGTCAGGAAGGAGTGGAACCACGGTAAAGTGGTGCCCCCAACTCCCAGCCCAGCCAGCCTGTCCAGAAGGACACCATGGTCGATTGTGTCGAAAGCCACTGAGAGTATCAACAGGCTCATACTCCCGTCTCTCCCCCAGCAAAAGCCATCGTACAGGGTGACCAAGGCAGTCTTCATACTAAAGCCCAGCCTGAAACCTGATTGAAATTGATCCAGAAAATCTGTTTCATCCAGCAGTGCCTGGAGCTGGCCAACCACAACCCACTCCCAACACCTTGCCCAAATAAAGGAGGTTCGCCACTGATCGGTAGTTAACCACCAGCCTTGGGTCCAGATTTGGCTTTTTAAAAAGTGGCTGAAATACCGCCTCTTTCAAGGTGGTGGGGACCACTCCCTCTCTCAAAGAGGCATTCACGGCCTCCTGGACCTGGTGTGAACCCCCTGGCAAATCTTCCAATTAGCCAAGATGGGCAAGGGTTGAGTGAAGTAGTGGTAGAATGGACAGATCCAAGCACCCTGTCTACATCCTCAGGTCTCAACAGTTGAAACTCATCCATTAATAATTGACCTAAGCATGGCACACTGGACACATCCTCTGATTCTGCACTAATGTTGGAGTCCACCCACTGCGAATCTGAGCGATTTCCCCCTCAAAATGAATGGCAAACTCCTCACAATGACCTGATGAGTGGTCCGGGACCTGCACCGGATTTCCTGGTTGAAGAAGATCCCTTTATGCCTTTAACCGGAGTTGTTGTTGTTTAGTCGTTTAGTCGTGTCCGACTCTTTGTCACCCCATGGACCAGAGCACGCCAGGCCCTCTTGTCTCCCACTGCCTCCCAGAGTTAGTTCAGCTGCTTGTTTCTGCCCGCTGGTTGATTGGGGAATTTCCCAGATCAAATGTGGGTAACTGCCATTCCCCCCATGATCAACAGGCTTCTCTGCCATTTTACTACCTCTTTGGGGTGGTTTTAACCCCCTGGGGGTTCCAAAGGTCAGAATTCAGCCCAGGGGATGGAGCTCCGTCCTCCTGCTGCTGTCTTGTTGCAGTGTCAAGCCGGAAGTCCCTCTTAGTTGCTTCTATAAAGATAGTTGGAATGGACATATTCTTTTTAATAGTTATATACAGCTGTACTATAGGTACTATAGGTGCAAAGCCTTGTTGGAAATAAACATAAGACTAAATCATCATCTCCTTTACTGTGATACAGGTTTACATCTAGTTTTGTGTTTTAATAGTCCATAAAGAGAAATACTTTTTCTGAATGCAATGACTATTTTGTTTCCTGAAATGGAATTTGAAAAAGTCTGGCATCCCTATGAATAGCTTTTTTCTTTCAAAACAGGAAAAAATATTGTTGACTTCAATGATATTGCAAGGAAGGTAGTGTAAGATAAGATTTCTTGAATGCAGAGCACCATTGTGTTTGAAGGGTAATGGGTAAGAATTTTAAAAAATAATTTTTCATTTTTAACATTTTAAGTGGATTCGAGATTAACCTCTTTGATTTTTCAGTCAAAAATGAAGAAGCCTCAGCTTTAACTGACAAGCTTTAACTGACAAGATGGTTATTGTAGGCTTTTCGGGCTGTTTGGCCATATTCTGAAGGTTTTTCTTCCTAATGTTTCACCAGTCTCTGTGGCTGGCATCTTCAGAGGACAGGAGTTAGAACACTCTTCGTGTTTTGGTGTAGGGTGTGGGATAGTTGAGTATTTGTAGTTGAGGGATCAGCTCTTTGTCCTTTTCAGGAGATTGGGTGATTATGGTGATCAGCGTGTTTTTGTTATAGGTGTATTGTGATAAGAGGGGAGATGGTCTGTCATTAATGGGTGTCGTTAGCTATTCGTTTGTGTGTGAGTGATCACTGGTCCTTGTGGCTGGATAGAGTTCATTGACCTTTTGCAGGCTGTATTTTTCAGTGCTGGGAGCCAGTCTTTATTTGGTTTTAGATTTTCTTCTTTTTTGTTGAAGCTCTGCTGGTGTTTGTGGATTTCAGTGGCTTCCATGTGTAGTCTAACATAATGACTGCTGGTGTTGGCCAGTACTTCTGTAGTTTGAAATAGGATTTCATGTCCAGCTTGTTTCAGGGCATGTTCAACTACTGCAGATTTTCCAGTTGTTTTAGTCTGTAGTCTTTCATGTTCTTTGATTCTGGTGTGGATGCTGTGTGTTGTGGTCCCAATATATACCTGGCCACAACTGCAAGGTATCTGGTATACCTCTGCAGTGGTGAGGGGGTCCCTTTTGTCCTTTGCTGACTGTGACATTTGTTGTATTTTTGTGGTAGGCCTGAATACTTTTTGTAGGTTGTGTTTTTTCAAAAGCTTCCCCATGCGGTCCATGACCTCTTTCATGTATGGCAGAAATACTTTATTTGTGGGTGGCTGTTTTTCTTCTTCAGTTTGGTATTGTTTTCTCGGTTTGATGACTCTTGTGATTTCATTCTTAGAATAGCCATTTGCCTGTAGGGCCACTTCAGATGGTTGAGTTCGGTGCTGAGAAATTGAGCTTCACAGTTCTGATTCGCATGGTCTACCAGTGTTTTGATTATGCCTCTTTTTTGTATATTTGGGTGGATGCTACTGAGATGGTTTAGAAATTCTTCCAGTTTTTCTTTACTGTGGTTCCAAATTGTGAAGGTGTCATCCACGTATTGGAACCAGACTGTGGGTGCAAAGGATGCCAAAGGCAGGGCCTGTTTTTAGCGTACTTTTACATGGAGCATTTTGCAATTTGGAACCACGGTGAAGAAAGATAGCTTCCCATATTCTGAAAGGATCTCCCATCCTATACTAGCTCTGTCTTTCTCATGCCATACTCTGTGTCTCTCATATCCCAAGTGGCCGAGTCCCTCCTCCGATCTGATTTCGGCAATATCCACCCTCGCTCTTTCACCTCAGGTACCTTCCTCTTCTCTCTTTCCAACCTCCTTCTCTTGTGTTTCGCTGTTTCTCCCCAGTATGAGGGTTTCTTTCTTTCTTTCTTTCTTTCTTTCTTTCTTTCTTTCTTTCTTTCTTTCTTTCTTTCTTTCTTTCTTTCTTTCTTTCTTATTTATTTATTTATTTATTTATTTATTTATTTATTT